GTTATTTAAACATATTGGCAACTTCACTTTAGTCCCTACATTGTTTTAAATTCGAGGCTAAAGAAGTTTCACTTCAAAAATATAAGTTGTATCCTTTGTGGCTTGAAGGATATCATTTGAAAGATCTCGAAAAGTAGATAAAAAACTATAATTTCTTATAACAGTAAAATTATAACAATTTTCACCCGGTTGTATGATTGAGGCTGTAGAAGTTTTACTTCAAAAATTTAAGTTGTATTTATTGCTTGTGGGATATCGTTTGGAAAGACTTGAACATTAAAATGTGAATCTGCGGAAATATTTTAGTTTTTATAAAACTGTAACGAGTGTCACAATTTTCATTTCAAGCCTAAAGAAGCTTTACTTCAAAAATATATGTTGTATCCTTTACTGCTGGTATCGTTTGAAAGGTCTCGAAAAGTAGAAGTATCCATAACACAGTGAATCTACACAAAAAAAATATTTTTTTATAAAACTGTAACGATTGTCACATAATTTTAATTTCAAGTCTAAAGAAGTTTTACTTCAGAAATATATGATGTATCTTTTTTATTGCTTGTGGGGTATTATTTGAAAGGTCTCGAGAATAAGAATGTGAATCTTCAGAAATATTTTAATTTCCTATAAAATTATAACAGTTTTCACACATTTTTTTGTCCCAATCTAATGAAGTTTTACTTCAAAACTTTTAAGTTGTTTTTTTGCTTATAGGGTATTGTTGGGGTATTGTTTGACAGATCCTGAGGAGTAGAATTTGGTTTCACAAAAAAATTTAAAATTATTATTAAACTGAAACAATTGTCACATAATTTTAACTTCAAGTCTAAAGAAGTTTTACTTCAAAAATATAAGTTAAATCATTTGTTGCTTGTGGGGTATTGTTTGAAAGGCGTCGAGAAGTAGAACATGAATCTGCACGAAAAAATTATTTTTTTATATAACTGTAACAATTGTCACATAATTTTGATTTCAAGTCTAAAGAAGTTTTACTTCAAACATATAAATTGTATCCTTTATTGTTCATGGGATATCGTTTGAATGATCTCGAAGAATAAAATGTAAATCCACAAAATATTAATAATTTTTATAAAATTGTAACACTTGTCACATAATTTTAATTTTAAGTCTAAAGAAGTTTCACTTCAAAAATATAAGTAGTATCCTTGTATAGTATAGGTGGAAAGCTTCCGAGGAGTAGAATGTGAACCTTGAGAAAAATTTTAAATTTTTATAAAACTGTAACAATAACAATTACCACATAATTTTAATTTTAAGTCTAAAGAAGTTTTACTTCAAAAATATAAGTTGCGTCTTTTTATGCTTGTGGGTTGTCATTTAGAAGATCTCGAATAGTAAAATGTGATTTTTCACAAAACCATTGATTTCTTATAAAATTGTAACAATTTTCACCCGCTTTTATGTTTAAGGCTATAGAAGTTTCACTTCAAAATTTTTAAGTTGTTTTATTATTGCTTGTGGGGTATCGTTTGAAAGTTGTCGAGAAGTACAATATGAATCCACAAGAAAAATGAAAATTTTCATAAAACTGAAACAATTGCCACATAATTTACAATAAACAAGTGTAAAAAAGTTTTACTTCAAAAATATAAGTTGTATCCTTTATTGCTTGTGAGGTATCATTTGAAAGATCTCGAAAAGAAAAATGTGATTTTTCATAAAAACATTGATTTCTTATAAAATTATAACAATTTTCCCCCGATTTTATGATTGAAGCTATAAAAGTTTAACTTCAAAATTACTTGTGGGGTATAATTTGAAAGATCTTGAGAAGTAGAATGTGGATCCACAAGAAAATTCATTTCAAGCCTGAAGAAGTTTTACTTCAAAAGAAAAATTGTATCCTTTATTGCTTGTGGGGCATCATTTGAAAGCTCTCGAGAATTACAATGTGAATCTACAGATATATTTCAATTTCTATAAAACTGTAACAATTGTCATATAATTATAATTTCAAGTCTAAAAAAGTTTTACTTCAAAAATATAAGTTGTATCCTTTATTGCTTGTGGGGTATCATTTGAAAGGTATCGAAAAGTAGAATGTGAATCTACACAAAAATTTAAATTTTTAAACAACTGAAACAATTGTCACATAATTTTAATTCCAAGACTAAAGAAGTTTTACTTCAAAAATATAAGTTATATCTTTTATTGTTTGTGAGGTGTCATTTTAAAAGTCTCGAGGTCTAACATGTGAAACTATATAAATATTGAAATTTTTATAAATCTGCAACAATTGTCATATAATTTTAATTTCAAGTCTAAAGAAGTTTTACTTCAAAAATGTAAGTGGTATCCTTTATATTGCTTGTGGGGTATCATTCGAAAGGTCTCGAAGATATGCAAATTTTCAAGAAAAATTTAAATTCTTATAAAATTGTAACAGTTTGCGCAAATTTGTATGTTTAAGTCTAAAGAAGTTTTACTTCAAAAATATATGTGGCATCATTTATTGCTTGTAGGATGTTGTTTAAAAGATCTCGAGAAGTAGAAATTAAATAAACAAAAATTGAAATTTTTATTTTAATTGCAACAATTGTCACATTATTTTAATTTCAAGTCTAAAGAAGTTTTACTTCAAAAATATATGTTGTATTCTTTATTGCTTATGGAGTGTCGTTTGAAAGCTCTCAAGAAGTAGAATTTGGATCCATAAGAAAATTTAAAATTTTTATCAAACTGTAACAATTGCCACATAATTTTAAATGTACAAATCTAAGGAAGTTTTACTCCAAAAATATGCGTTGTATTCTTTATTGCTTGTGCGGTATCATTTGAAAGGTCTCGAGGAGTAGAATGTGAATCTACACAAACATTTTAAATTTTTATAAAACTGAAACAATTGTCACATGATTTTAATTTTACGTCTAAAGAAGTTTTACTTCAAAAATATAAGTGGTATCCTTTATATTGCTTGTGAGGTATCGTTTGAAAGGTCTCGAGGAGTAGAATGCAAATCTTCAAGAAAATTTTAATTTACTATGAAATTATTGCAGTTGACACAGATTTTTATTGGTGCAACAAAGCTTTCCTTACTTTTTAACAAATTAACAAACGTTTCGTTTACAAGTATCATGTCTAATGAAGGATAAAATCAACCACTAGTAGCAAAAATCTATTTTAAACACCATATGTCTAAACAATAATATGAACCTCAAATTTCTCCGAATTTCGCCAACAACTACGCATAAATAAAGATTTTAGGTAAGTTCTCATTACAATTCTAAAAAAATTTCCAGGTCCGCAGTATCGAAACAAAGAAAAGAAAGCCTCGATAAAAAATCCTCCCCATCTCACTCTAACAGAAACACCAACACAACAACAACAAGTACCAACAGACCGAACCAAAACTCACCAAGAAAAGACAGCAGATCATCTACAGATCACACGTCAAAACAAGGAACTACAAAAGGAATACTTTGTCAACCAAGGTAAAAGAATAAAGGTCAAAATAGGAAAAAAGCAAGCCAAAACAAGAAATATAAATGGTTTTATTTGTTTTCCCAGGAGGTGCAGTGAAGGTGCCAAAAGCAGTTCCTTAGAATCCAATGCTGATACGAAACGTCGTTATTCAGAAAACGTCGAAAATAATCAGAATAATAAAAAAGTAGACTTCACAACACCAGCTGATAAGCGGAAGTTATTTTCGCGGTCCAATAATTTTAGATATTACTCCACCAGCGATTTAGTTGACACAGAACGCAGGTAAGGAATCCTTACTAGAAACCAGTAAAAAAAATCCTGACATTTGACCCTGATCTTGCTCTTATTCCAGATGCTCCGCCTCCTGTTGCAACCGCAAATCAAGTGACCCTTGCGTCAGAACTGAATGTGAACGAAGAAGATCATCCCAAGATCGAACTTCCAAAAACAACCACCGCCAAAACAGTGATCAAAGCGACCACCAAAAATCCGATAGTGATCGTGATCGTCCATCAAAATTTAGGAAAAACAGCGACCACAAAAATAACGAGAAGGAACTTAACTACATCAATCGCAGAAAGAGCGACCAGGGAATCCCAAACGATCATAGAAGATCCAGTGATCCTAGATATTATAAAAGACAATTCAGTGATCCCAGCAACCAGGAGTTTGCACGACGCAAAAGTGATCAAGCAAGATGGCACAGTGATCAAGTTATATGTGAGATTTTAGAAAATCAGTTATACGAACAGAATAGATGCAAGGACAAATCTTATGATCGGATTAAAACTTGTGATCATTGTGAAAGAAAACCAAGAAGCCAAGAGTTCTACGACCAAGTTGAACCAAGTGATTCAGAGAGAAGCAAGTGGCGCAGTGAGCAAGTAATCCACCAGCAGGATAGAGATCATAGACGATCTAGTGATCCTAGAGGATACATTCGTCAACAAGATCATAGTTACTATTTTGAGGAAGAGAGTGATGATGTTTATTTAGATGACAATCAAGACTTCTCTGGTGATTACTTAAGTTTCCAACAAAACCTTTGTGACTATTACCCCGATTACCAACAGTCATTAGTAAAAGTTGATAATTGGATCGCAAGCGATCAACCAAGTAGACCTTTACGTAGTACAATTATCAGAGGACAGCATTTACCACGCGGAGATTCTAGTGATTTCGATGACAGATGGTTAGGACGTGACGATTCACTAGATTTAGTAGAAAGACGTGCCTCATCCTCCTACCTTGATCCTGATACTGTAGATCCTTATGCCCCTAGCATCAACGATTACTGTGACTCCAAATTTTATGGTACTGCTACATCGCATGATCGAATTCACGATTATTATACCCAGAGTTTGCCGACTGACTATTTAGGAACGGACGAGTTCTGTTACCAGAGCCGACACGGGCAGTTTCCTGATAAATATCTGGTGCGTGGTTCCAGTTTAGATGCATATGTACCAGTTGAAAGGGATTTTAGAAAAAGTGGACCGAGACATTATCAGAGTGGACGTTCTAGACGATATCGGAGTGGGAGTGGAAGTGGTCGCGTGATGGTTACGATGTCCGGACCGGAAGATCCGGACCGCAAAGTGGTCTTGGAGTTTTGTCACCTGCTGGAGAAGTCTAAGCAACTGTTTAATGGACTCAGGTAAAAATATAAAACTACTAATCTACTTTTATCATATTAATTTTTCAGTAAAAACTACTAAACCCCATTCCTAAATTTAGAACACACTTGGTTAAACAATATCTATAAAATAGTTTCCTTTCTTAATGCACCAAAGCTCTCATCTAGTAGTGTTATCTTAACCTCAGTCCTAAATTTTCACTTAATCTGCTGCAGAGATCTTCCTCAGTATGGTCACAGACAATGGCAGGCCTACTTCGGACGAACGTTCGACGTCTACACAAGATTATGGAAATTCCAACAGCAACATCGACCGATTCTGGATCGGAAGTACGGACTCAAAAGATGGCAAATTGGAGAGATAGCCAGCAAAATTGGACAACTGTATTATCACTACTAGTAAGTAAAATTGACAACTATTCGATTGTACAATTTGACCGCCTTTATGATAAAAATTGTAAATCTCTGTTTCGATTTTGGCTTAAACGATTTTTTTTATCTGCAGTTTAAGGACTAGTGAAACAAGTTACCTAAACGAAGCCTATTCGTTCTATGCAGCCATAAGGGGGCGCGCCTATTATTCAAGGGCTCTCAAAGAAGATAGGTGAGCCTATCTTACTAAAACCACTAAATTGTCAACAGCATCGCATGGTTTTTGACGTTGAATTTTTCCAGGTCTGATTTAATGGTGAAAAAATTAAGATATTATGCAAGATTCATCATGGTGTGTCTTTTGCTAAAGAAAATGAAACTGGCGAGGGAACTCGTTCAGGAGTTAGACAGACATATAGGTAAGCTACGAAAACAATCTTCCTTCTAGACTGTCCTGGTATCTTTTACCAAATTGCACACTTGCTAATTTCAATTTTACCAAAGTTTCACAGAACCTTTCCATATCCATCAGTTGCACTGAGGATTTTCATCTAAGTCAACACAATCACCAGAAATGCTCTTGAATCTATCAAATCTACATCAATTCAATTTTCCCTAATAATATTAAGATTCCACCATTGTGAAGATTTCTCCATAAGCCTATAATAATAACAAATGGCTCTATCTTATTACTAAAGTATGATGACTTTACTAGGTGACTACAGTGCAGCCTACGCAGCTGAAGATAGGCACGAGTGGATGTTAGTACTGGACGAAGCAAAATGTTTCCTGAAGGCCGAAGGCCTACTTCAGGTTGTTCATCCTGATACAGGACCGGTGATCCTTTCCCACAGGTAAATAATAACCTATACAATGAGAGTTCTGTACAAAATACCAAAACTGGAAGAGTTTTAGTATTTTAGTAGGACCAACTTAAGGTATTGATTACCATTGTTAACTGAGGAAGCACATTATGTAGGCAAGGTTCTGTACAAACCAAATGTGTCAATCACAATTTATATTTTGTTTTCAGATTGGGTCCCTTAACGGCGCCTCCGCCTTTACCACATACAGAGCGCCCTTTAATGAACCTGACGTTACAAGAGGCGCTTCTAGTCGGAAATAGATGTGATCAGGTAACACTAATGCAGTATAATAAAACAAATAGTAAATTTAAAGATTCAATAATTATCTTTCTGCTTTTAGGTAAAATTTTCTGAAATAACTGCCGACATGTACAGAATGCTTCAAACCTTAGAACGCGAGCCTGGAGGTTCTTTGGTGTCTGTACAACACCACCATCACCAGGACTTGATTGGAGGTCCTGGATACGATCAAGGTAGTCCTGCAGGAACCAGAGCTTTACCAGGTTCTAACAGCATGTCTTATGGACCTAAAGGTAACCAAGGAAATCGATTTCCAAAACAACAATACAACTATCTATGTTTGTTTCCAGGTTATGCAGAAAATGGTCACCATTACTCCTCGCGTTCCCGGAGGCACCATCATTCAGGTGGTCCCCCGTCCTACCGTTCGACGTCCCTCATAGGCGAAAACCCACATAAGTACTTACTCTATGCTCCAACTTTGGCACAACTACTCCTATTCTTAGCAGCAGGCAGCAGAGAGTTGCCCCAAGGGGGCGCGCTTTTACTATACCTCTCCGCAGACGCCTGCTTTGGAGCATCAAGTGGAACCAACGGAAGGAAGGTTCAGTCCAGCACAGACGAGAGTAAGTAGAAGTAGAAATAAAAAACTTCAACCAGGAACTCTTGTGTCTTATTTCTGCAGTTGGTTATGAATCTGGTGGCGTCGTGACTTCTACAAAACGTGATACGCCCCCGCCGTCGCACCATCATCGAGCGCCCCCACACTGCCATACCGATGACGTCATGGGGCATGGTAAGGACCCGCACTGCCTTTACCCAGGGGACCTCTACCCTTTCACGAGGAGACCCATGTTCCTGGTTGTCGATTCAGACAATTCGTTCGCGTTTCAGAACATACCGAGGTAAGTGATAGTAGATACGTCTTGAGATAATTTCTTGTCATCTTCAGGGGAAAAGAATATCATATAAAATGCCGATGCGACATGGAAATTTTTATTAATTTGATAGTTTTTATGGTATACTGAGGATAAATTTAATATTCTAATCGGAACGTGGAATCATTATGATAAATTTATTTACGATTAAAATATTCCAAAGTAAGTAAATGAGATTATGAATAATATATATGCGATAATATAATATACATCGATATATATGCTCGACGCTATTTTGAAACTATCAGAATTTATATTTTTTACATTCATAGTTTTAAAAAATAAACTCATATTCTACTCTTCAAGCCCTTTGAAACATGCCATACAAAAAATATTTAGTTTTTTGAAGTATAAGTTCTTTAGGCTCGATTAGTATAAATGCAACTAAAGAGTGTACATTTTTAGCAAATTACTTAGTTAATTTGTTTATTTATTTGTAGTTTTAGAAAATTTAAAGTATTGACTTGAAACTCAGACTGTTCATATTGAAAACTGTCATCTCAAATATTTATAAAAAAGTGCGTTTTATATTAAATAATAAAAATATAATAAATTATTTATGCCATTAGTAATAATTATTATAATTTTTTTTTATTCAAAATCGCTTAAAAATAAAACAGTAAATATACCGATATTTTTGGGATACGCCATTTTCAAAACTGTCAAGTGACAACAACAACAATCTAATTAACAATATTAAGAAGAAATTGTGTCATAATTAAATAATTTTAAATTCGTAATGTAATCATAATATAATGAATATATTATTAATTTAATTAATTTAATTAAAATTAAATAAATTATTACAATCCAAATGTATGCTTGACGCCATTTTGAAAACTGTCAAGTCACAATTATAATAATTTAAATATATTGATAAGTGTGTAAATCATAAATAATTTATATTCGTAATATAATTATAATTTAATTAATATAATATATATATATATATTTTTTTTTTTAATTTTTATTTTCAATAGCAATCAGAATACATAACTATTCTATGAGCTATTTGGCTTATGTCATTCACTCACACACATACACACTAATAATATATGAATATAATATATGAATTAAATTAATTGATTTAAAATAAAATAAATTATTATAATCGATATATATGCTTTACGCCATTTTAAAAAAACTGTCAAGTGTCAACTATGACAATTTAATTAACTATAATAATACTTAATAATGTAAATTATTATAATATACATTTTATTACGCATATTTATAATAATTATATTAATTTAATAAATTATTCGCGCGTAATATTTATTGGAGCAGAAAAATATCGATATTTTGACGTGACGCCATATTGAAAACTGTCAAGTGACAACAGTCAAAATTTAATTATCTATAATAATAATTAATAATGTAAAAAATTATTATAATATACTTTTGCGTGCCATATTTATTAATTAATCTATAAACTATGAATTAAATTAATTAAATAAAATTTAAATAATTTTTTGCAATCGATATTTATCTTGGACGCCATTTTGAAGAACTGTCAAAGTGCAGAAAAAATGCAGTGCTCAGCAAAACCTTATAAAAGTGATGAAATTCTGTTTATTTACGAATATAAACATAAATTGAGCTATTATAAACAAATAATAGAAGTTCTATGACGCATATTTAAATAGTTTTATATACTGACAAAGTTTTAAACAAGTAAAATGAGCGCTGAAAGTATACCAAAACATGCCAAAGTAAAAAAGCCTAGTATTCAAGATAATGAAAGACATAATCAAGACAAAAGTCTTCACAAATGTGGAGTTTGTGACAAAAGCTTTGCTAAAGCCTCAACTTTCTTCAAACATTTAGAAAACCACACAAAAAAAGATGCAGAGTCTTCGGAAGAACATGCCCAATGCTATTTTGTATGTGACATTTGTGAAAAACAATACACGGATGTAACTGAACTCCTTACACATGTCCGTGGACACAACAGGGACAAAGAAAATGAAAACATACTTGTCAAAGACAAGAAAAGCCTAGCATCCCCCTTGTATCAAAAACAAACTCCACAACCTCGTACTCATGTACAAGTTGTCTCAACGTCTTCCCGACTCTCAATTCCTACAAAAACCACACCTATAAATGCTGGGAAAGATCACAATTATGGAAATGCCACATATGCAACATGTTCGTAAGCTCGAGACACTCTTTAAAGAAACATTTAAGGATTCACACAGGCGAAAAGCCCTATCGTTGTGATATCTGTAATAAAGCTTTTGCACAACAAGCCATTTTGTCAAAGCATCAAAGAGTGCACACGAAAGAGAAGCCTTTCGATTGCAAAGTTTGCAAAAAGGCTTTTAGTCAGTCGGGGAGCTTAACTAGACATATGAGGATTCATAATAAAGATAAACCGCATGAGTGCGAGAAGTGTGGGAAGGCTTTTACGAGGTCTGATGCTATGGTGTCACATATGAAGAATAATCATTGATTAATATATAATTTTATTGTAAAATGTATGACTTATGAAAATCAAATATATAAAAACCTGATATGTACATATTTTTAAAAATAAAACATGATAAGAAAGCAATGTAGTAATTTATGAGTACTTTATAACTTTACTGGTTAATTATTTAATTTTGTACAAAAACTTAAAAAAATCTATATTTTATTCAAATCTTGATATTCTACTTCTCAAGACCTTTCAAACGATACCCCACATGCCACAAGACAAAAGTTTAACATTTTGAAGCAAAACTTCTTTAGGCTCGGTTACAAGAAATGCCATAAGAGAGTATATTTTTGACAAATCAGTTAGTTAATTTGCTTAAGTTTTTGTAGTTTTACTATTTGATGGCAAAATTTAAAGTATAATTCGAAATACATTGTCAATTTTTTTAATTTTCTTCTTAATAAAATTTAAAGTTATAAAATTTTTTGCAAAGGGAGAATATTTATCGCAATTTTATTTTAAAATTATATTGTACTCTTCTAGACCTTTCAAATGATACCCCACATGCCACATAAAAACAAAATTTGGTTTTTTGAAGTAAAACTTCTTCACTCGATTACTATAAATGCCATAAACTTGAAAAATTTAATATTTTATTCCAGTATTCAGATTCTACTTCTTAAGACCTTTCAAACGATACCCCACATGCCACATAAGACAAAAATTTTGTTTTTTGAAGCAAAACTTCTTTAGACTCGATTACTATAAATGCCATAAAGGAGTATAGTTTTGACAAATCACGCAGTTAATTTATTTATGTAATTGAAGTTTTAGATGACAAAGTATGATTCAGAACTCATTCTCAAATATTTCAATATTTTTTAATACATTTTAATATTTTTTGCAATGCGATATTAATGCGATAAATCTTTTCTGCAAAAATATTAAAATGTATTCAAGAATATCGAAATATCTAAAAATGAATTCTCATCTGATATCAAAAATTTAAACTACAATTGCATAAACAAATTAATTAAGTGATGTGTCAAAAATATATACACTATTAACATGGCATTTATAGTAATCGAGCCTAAAGAAGTTTCACTTCAAAAAACTAAATTTTTGTTTTATATGACATGTGAGGTATCGTTTGATAGGTCTAAAAAAATAGAATATGATTTTAATAATAATATTTCAGTATATATTCTACTATTTTGCAAAAACATTAAAACGTTAAATTATATTATAAAGACTATTGAACTGTCCGAGTTGGAGTCATACATTTTATTTTGTATATAAAACTACAAATATATAAACAAATTAGCTGAGTGATTTGTCAAAAATATACACTCTTAGGGCATTTTTGGTAATCGAGCCTAAAGAAGTTTCACTTCAAAAAACTAAATTTTTGTTTTATATGGCATGTGGGATATCGTTTCAAAGGTCTTGAAGAGCTGAATATGATTTTATTAATGAAATTGCATTGATTTTTTATAGCAAAAAATATTAAAATGTTAAATTGTATTAAAGAATATTAAAATATTTGACTATGAGTTTCGAATCATTCTTCAAATTTCGTATCAAATATCAAAACTAAAATTATGTAAACAAATTAACTAAGTGACTTGTCAAAAATATATACTCTGATGGCATTTATAGTAATCGAATCTAAGAAGTTTTACTTCAAAATATTAAACTTTTGTCTTGTGTGACATGTGGAGCATCGTCTTGGGTGGCACATCTCTTGCGGGGACTATCTGACATTAAAACATAATTTGTTCTAGCCACAATGGATGTATTTTCATCACAAATCGATAGTTTGTGTTTAAACTTCACTCACAATATTAAGGAACTTAAAATATATGAAAAGACTACACAAAAGACTTACTATTCAATAATATAAGTCTCTAAAGACTTTCAAATCTCTTATACGATATTCATTAGATGACCGAATGACCAGTTAATTTTATTAGACCAGTTAATTAATTTTATTATTTAATGACTGGACAAAATTGTTGTATCTATATCATGTCATCAGAAAAGTAGAGGAGTTGTATTTACTTTGACAAAGTAAGGGGGCTTACCATGTATGTCTTTTCCCAGGACCATCTTGACTTTTTAAATCTGACGTTAGACCATAACTTGCTTCAATCATCATGGATGTATTTTCAACATTAAAAGACAGTTTTTGTTTCAATTGCACTAATAATGATACTAAAAGTCGTACTATTTATTAAGACAGGACTCCTCAGACTTTTAATTCTCTCGCTGACCCCTTCGGTAGCCATCAACCTGCAATACAAGAAGAAATTAGTGAATATAAACAAATGGAATAAATTATTACATAAAGGCATTTATTTTAATCGAGTGTATGTAAGGGTAAACAATTTATTAATGAAAGAAAATGAATATAAATGAATTATTAAGCAAAGGCAGTTGTAATAAAGAAAATGTATGTTAAGTATGGAATTTAATAAAAATGAAAAGGATGTAAAAATATAAATTAAAATCCAATAGCAAGTGCTTAAGAAAACAAATATAAGACAGACACAATTTTATTTTTTGTGTAAAATTAAAAATGTATTTTCAACCTAACCTCAAAATATTATCTATATACAATGTCAACAAATATAAATTAAATAAACATACTTACCACTTAATAAACGTTTAAAATAATCTTTCCTATTATAATATATATCAAACAACTATTATAATTTGTTTAAATTACACTTAAACTATTAAAAATTAAAAAAAAAACTTTCACACAAACTTTGCCGAAGAGGATTTTTGACAGTTGTGATATAAATTTTAATTTGTCTAAAATTATATTATTAATAAATTATACTGATAAGTTTGTTATTTAAACATAATATATAATCGCTAAGTTTAAATTTATAAATTATTTAAGAATTTTATTATTTATTAAATAAATATGAAAAAATCAAAGATTATTTGACAGGCGTTACTAACCTAACCTAACACATCATTTATTTATTTACACAACTAGAAATTAAATAAACACACTTGTCACTCCATAAACATCTTAAAATTAATCTTATCACGTATTATATAGTTTAAATATATAACAAATATTTATTAATTTGTTTAAATCACTTTTATATTATTAATATCAAAATACTCACAAACAAATTGTGCACAAAACCAAATGTTTCTACAAATCTAAAATGGCGGCATGACGGGCTTTATGAATTTGAATTATTGGATGTTAAATTTTAATTTTCGGCTTTTATAATTATTTAATTAAATCTATATGTGTGTTATTTAAATATAATATATTACTGTTGAGTTGATAAGTTTATAAAAATTGGCAAAAGATTTTATTCTTAATCAAATAAACATAAAGGGCTATTGACAGGTGTCAGTGGTTACATTTAAGGTGAGGTATCGTTATTTTTTAAATTCAAAACAAAATTAAAGTATATATATTATATTAATATATAATAAACGACATTAATTTAAAGTAATGAATTTATTTATAACCAAATTGAATACAATTAATAATTATTTAAAATCAATTTTAATTTTTATATGTTGACAACTTCACAGTGTTAAATTTCTTAATATTTTATTTTAATTTAAATTTAAAACACAGTTAAAGTAAATATATATTAGGCAAAATCAATTTAAAATAATAAATTGAATAATAATTAATTCTTAATTGTTTAATAATTATTTAAAATTAATTTTAATTTTTAAATATCAGTTGACAACTTCACAATGCTAAATTTTTTAATACATTTTAATTATTGTTTTTCAATTTAAAACACAATAAAAGTAAATATCAAATAAACGCCATTAATTTAAAATAACAAAATGATTTTTATTACCAAATTAAATACATTTGGTAATAAAAACATTATTTATTAACATCAATAAATGTTAAAGGATTATTTAACATCAATTTCAATTTTTGAAAGTTAGTTGACAACTTCATAGTGTTAAGTTTTTAACATTTATAAAATATTTTTTGTATTAAATTTAAAACACAATTGTTATAAATATATAATAAATAAAATCAATTTAAAACAACAAATTATTTTATTATAAAATTAAATACGTTTAATGATTATTTAAAATTAGTTTTAATTTTTGAATGTCAGTTAACAACTTCATAGTGTTGAATTTTTAATTTTTTTTAATTCAAAACACAATTAAGAAAAATATATAATAAACAAAATTAATTTAAAATAATTAATTAATTTCTTATCAAATTAAATACACTTAATATTAATTTAAAATTAATTTCAATTTTTCAATGTCAGTTGACAACTTCATAGTGTTAAATTTTTTAATGTTTCTTAATTCATAGATAAAAGAAGAGTCTCAATTTTTATTTTTAAATTAAAACTTTATTAAAGTAAATATTAAAAAAGGAAAATTATTTTAAAGTTTTTAATTAAATATTTCCAAATTAAATGCTTATTAAAATTAATTTTAATTTTTGAATATCAGTTGACAACTTCATAGTGTTAATTTTTTTTATTATTCTTAATTATGCTTTTTTATTATAAACATAATTAAAGTAAGTATATAAAGAAGAACATTGATTTGGTGTAACTATTGAATTTTTTGATAAATATGTTAAATAATTATTTGTTTTATTAATTATTATATTAATACTTTTAATTAATTTATTTTTTAATTAGTTTTAATTAGTTTATTTTTTAATATTTTTTTCAAAATATATATTTAAAACACAATACTCATATATTTAATTTATATTTTTATAAATTTTTATTTATTTTTCAGATACTTCGGCCAACCACTAGTAGCATTATTATCACCTCAAGACATTCCTCCTGCATTTCAAGGTAAATCAAAATAACGTGTTATATATATATATATATATATATATTAGTGATGTGCCAAGTTGAATCAAGTGATTCGAATCATTCGAATCAAGCCTTTAACGACTTGATTCGAATCAGATTTTACTTGATTCGAATCAACTCGTATCAAGCCGCGAAATATTTACTGTGATAAAACATGTGTGAACACAAATTTTCATAAATATAAAAAAAAATGTTTTAATTTAATTCAATATTATAATAATATAAATAATAATAATAATAAATATAAATAATAATAATAATAAATATAAAAAATAAATCTTGAATTAAATCATGCGAGTCACCCGCCTTTAATACGCTTAAATGTATCACCCGACTCCAATTTATATGACTTTAACCGCATTCAAGTCGATATGAATTCATCCGAGTTCATATGACTCAAACCGACTTATCCCGACTTCAAGTCGTTATGAATTGATTCGAGTTCCTATGACTCAAACCGACTTATCCCGACTTCAAGTCGTTATGAATTGATTCGAGTTCCTATGACTCAAACCGACTTATCCCGACTTCAAGTCGTTATGAATTGATTCGAGTTCCTATGACTCAAACCGACTTATCCCGACTTCAAGTCGTTATGAATTGATTCGAGTTCCTATGACTCAAACCGACTTATCCCGACTTCAAGTCGTTATGAATTGATTCGAGTTCCTATGACTCAAACCGACTTATCCCGACTTCAAGTCGTTATGAATTATTCCGACTTGAGTTCGAAACATGTGTCCGTGTTTAGCATATCGACTTATGGAGATGCAGTGCGTATGGGTCTTGAGTGTTTGTTTATTTTTGACTAAGCGCTGAGAGCAAATTTGTTCATGAAATATCAAAAACTCATTTAGATAATAAATACGCGATTTAGATTTTAATTATTATCAAAATAAACTACACAACGAGTTTTATACACATACAAAATTATTATATTTTAATTATGCAAGTAATGGCAAATTCACACAAATGAAATAATATCAATCTTTACAGTAGTGGATTGAATTTTAAGTCATTCGTAAGACGTTAGATTCAGCTCCCTGTTTAGATTAGATCTAAACAATCAATAATATACACATGCATTCGTTCAACGTAAGATTAAGAATATTGTTTTATATGCTTTAGTGATAGAGAAGTGTTTGGTTATATTTTACTGTAAATTCACTTGAAAAATTAGTTATATTTGTAGCTAGTTTATTATTATATATATAGTATAAATGTATTCATCTCTGTACTTTTTGGAATTAATTGCTTACTAAATTAATTATTTCACTTATAAAATTATTAAAATGATATTATTTCTTCTCTTAAATTATAATTGTTCATATATGAACTTGATTCGAATTGATTCGAATCATGATTCGAATCAGGTTTTTTTCTGATTCGAATCACTCGAATCAGGAAATTTTCGAGTCGGCACATCACTAATATATATATATATATATATATATATATATATATTTATATATTTATATTTTTTTATCCAGATTTACAACGTGACGGGTCCCTCTTCACCCTGTTTCTTCATTCGCCGCTGCTCGCCCTGTGTCGCTGCTGTCACATAGTAGATTTGAGTGCCCACACATGGGACAGATGTCGCTCTCAGTACGATAGGTTTGCGTCCGAGGTGACAAGACTGATGCTGTCGCACACCGCTTCCTCCAGCGGCGCTGGTGTCGCTGCTGATATGCAGCAGGACGGAACGGGAGCAGGAATCGGGGAGGCGGAGAAAGGTTAGTTATATTCGTAATTTATTTATGAAATTCACTGTGAACAAGGAAACGAAAGACTATTCTACTGTCTGAATAAGAAACTGGGTTGGAAATGAGAGTCTGTTATACGTTGCGATCAAAAAACAAATAGAAATGTAAAGGTAAACTGTAAGTACAACAGAATGCCATAACGAACTTTTTGGGTGATAACAGGAACTACAGGAAATTTAAAGCAGAGGCACATGTTTGAATGGGAAAGTACAACAGGGGGAAAAACACTGCAGAAAACAGGGTTGGACATATAAGGGGGAAAGAACCATGTAAGGTCACATAGAAGAAATACAGAATGTACACGAGGAATTATTTAGGCTACAGAAAATGCAAGGAACTGAAAGCAGAAGCACATGACAAGAAAACATGAAAGCATTAGTATGAGAGTGAATTGGGAAACAGGAGAGGGACTAAAACATACAATGGAATTTAACAACGAGCACACCTTTGATAATGATAACTAACTTCTGAATACTTTTTTTCTATTTTAAATAATTTTTATTCGAAATCTACAAATTACACTCAATGCAACTTCTTATACTTTGCGCTCTCATTTTCCTTTGGATAAAATATCTTTTTGAGTCCCAAAACCACTAAAAAGGCTCCTCCCAAGAACAATCCGAGCCACACGAGCACGAGGTCCCACATGAAGAGTGTGGGAGCCCCCATAACGGCAGCCCGAGACCTCAGGTGGGGGGCACCTTTGTGCCTTAGCACGTATTCACACCACCACGTCGCCTCTTCTAGCGGATGCCTCGGGCGATCTCGGAAACGAGACGATCGCAGCGACATCTTTTCGCGATAGCTGGAAACGAAAGACGTTTTGGTAACTAAATCTTCCCATCGTCAGAATATATATATATATATATATATATATATATATATATTGAATGGTAGAGTCTTGGATTTGTGTATATTTTTTGTAGAGTTTCGAACAAGAATCCAAAAATAATACAAAATAAAAAAACAAGAAAAGTTTTTAATAAACAATTTCTTTATTTAATTATTTGTTTACTGTCAACGTTTCGGAACTAGGTACGTTCCATCTTCAGGACATCTGTCAAGAAACATGATCTTGATAAGATTTAAGCAAACAATATGTTTAAGAATATTAAGAAAATAGATTTTTCTTAAATAATAAATTAATTGTAACAAATAATAATGTACAGAAATATGATAATATGATCAAAATGAAAATGATAAAAATAAATGAGTGGATTATTAGAACAGGATATTAAAAATAATAGAAATTTTTTGAAAGTTATGGAAAAATTTTTTAAGAAAGGATTAATGATAAAATTGAATTAATTACCTGTATGTTTGAATATACGTTAGCACTTTTTCACTAAACAAGAATTTTTGACAAAAAATGAATTTGTGAGTTATTTTTCCGCCGAATAGTTAACTTTTGTAAATCAAAATTACTAAAAGTGTTGTCTTTTTAAAATTATTATTTGAAAACAAATAATATTGTATTCGAAGTTATACTATTGGCTTTTGGAAGCGAACTAAACTGTATTTGATGGATTCATATGTAACACGTGTAAACACTTGAAACGAGAACTGTGAGATTGTATGTGTGTGTTTTTTTCTCATGTTAGGGTGTAAATACTTAAATTATTGAACTTAAAATGAAGTCGATATTAATTGTTTGTCAAAAAGTGTAAAAAATTTAAATATGAATCATGTAATAGGTTGTGATCTGATCTAATGTTGACACTGTTAGAAACATTCAAGAGAATAAGACAACTCTCCACCTAGTTCCGAAACGTTGACAGTAAACAAATAATTAAATAAAGAAATTGTTTATTAAAAACTTTTCTTGTTTTTTTATTTTGTATTATTTTTGGATTCTTGTTCGAAACTCTACAAAAAATATATATATATATAAATATATGCACTGCACAGTGTTACCAACCTCGTACTCGTTAGCATCCGTCTCAACTTTTCGACGATTTCTTCTTCCGTCACCGTTGGAATTAGTATTTGTTCGGCGACTCCTGCGTCCACAGCTTTTTTTGCATTCTTCATTCGAAATACATCTTTATTAATTAATGATAATAACAATAATAATAATAAATGTAAACATATTGAAAAATAATAACTTTAAAATCAATTAGTGCAATTGATGATCTTGTTTTCAATGGAATACGATAAAAAATCTTGTTGTGTTGCCATATGCGCATGAAAATAGCATCACATTGTCATTTTTCCATAATTTTCAAAGCTTTCGATTAATATGAATATAGTTTTCTATAACTCTGTACAAAATAATACAAGAATACAAGGGTTTTTACTTTTTATATTGTTTCTAAATTGTAGACGATGCGATTAGTATGAACATTTAGCAACATCATCAAATTTTAGAGCAATTCTATATTGCTAAAAAGCTTTTGATAATATACAAATACTTTAATTTCTTAAAGCAAACCACTTAATTAGTATTGAAGATGCATCTTACCGTAAACTGGTCAGCAAAGAAAGGAATAATCAACGTCGGAACACCATGCCAAGTTGTCTCTTGAGAACTCAACAATCCACCATGAGACATAAACAACTTTGTTTTTGGATGTCCTGAAAACAACATCAATCTTATCATCTTATCTGAACTCGATCCATCCATCCATCTTACCCAAGACGTCATTTTGAGAAGCCCATGTTGTCAGCATAACATTTTTGGAAACTTTCAAATCGGTTCTTTCTGTTTTCCACAAAAAATGATGGTCGGGAAACTTTGCCAAAGCTCGGACGAACATTTGAAGTTTTTCTTCGCTCATCATGTTGTATTTGACGTTGGTTCCTAAACTGAAGTAGACTACGCCTTCTTTTGCGGAGTTGAAGAAGTTGTTGATGTGCTGGGAAAGAAAAAGACTCTACTGGGTAAAGAAACTTTTTGTGTTGCTTAAAACTGCATTGAGGTTAATCTGGAGCAAATTTAGAGAAACTGATAATGGAAGCAGTAGTGCTAAAGTGATGGCGAGGAAGAGAAACCGCCATCACTGTGATGGTAAATAAACGAAACTGCCAGTTTCTACTGTCTGAAGGCTTTTTACAAGATTACCATGGAAGTTGGAAGTGTTACAGGATGTAGAAGGTCTGAAATGTAGATGTAGATGAATGGAACCAGAGTGTGGTGCAAACATTTTTTTCAAAAGTCTATTATCTTACTTCTGGCAATGGTTTCGGTTCTTTAACCTGCAGCCCGCCGACCTGTATCGTATTAGGCAACAGCAGTTCGGGTAAATCCATTCCAGGATGACTATTGACCAGCGCCAACTCCAGCCTCTTTTCCAAATCACCCAAGTAAGGCAAAGTGTTTCCAAAATAGACCCTAGCCATTTGGTCTACATTTTCAACTGCCAACCGCCTATAATACGAATCCAGAGCGTAGTAATAAACATTCAGCGATCTCTGCCAAAAGTTCATATCACCAGGAAAGAAACTGCTGTAGAATGGTAACAAGCTAGGGACCACAGGGTTGCCTGTCAGTTCGTAAGTATTCGGTGGGGTCATGAACGCCGAGATGCCGACTATTGGTGGATTGTTAAATTTATGGACAAAGCCGAAGGTGTCAGGCAAGCCTGTGTAGTCAACGATGACCAAGTCGAATTTGAAGTCATCAGGGTACGCTAAAAGTTTCTTAAAGCCTGTAGTCTTCATCACAGCATCGGATAAAACTGTTATGTATTGGTAGAATATTTTTATTCCGTCAGGTATGCTCATTTCGGGGAATTCTTCAGGGTTGCCTGAGGCGTTGAAGATTTTCTGGACGGCATCGTAAACGCCTTCAGCGTGGAGGTAGTGCAGATTAGGGGTTGGTTCTGGGTCGATGTCGACGCTTAATGCTGTTATGTTGTAGCCTTTTTTGGCCAGGGTGACCATTATGGAACGATTCCTGGAAAAAAAATTGAAATAACTATAGAGCATGTTTGATTATACTTCTAGGACGTTTTGGTCAATTCTTGAATAAACTAGCTTTTCACGTGAAGCTAAACAATAGTTTACTGCCGTGCAATCTGGTAAATTGAACTTTACCAAGTCGGTGAATTAAGGTTTTGAATTGATCAAAGACATAAATTCTGAGAAAAAAATCTCTACTGACGACCAATCTGAGACTGTATTTGAAAATGATAAATAAAACTCTACTGACGGGCAATCTGATTAAGTAAAGTGATGTCAATGAATTAAAACTTTGCATAGGTCGGAATTATGGTCAAAAATTTTTTGTCAGTCGAGTTTTATTATCTGGAGAACCAGTTTGCTAGTCAGTACACTTCTCTTTTTTTGTAAGAATATATTTTAACTATTTTATTTGGCAAGACTATCTTAAGTTCCATTTTCGGATAAGATTGCTCTCTTATTAACGCATTTTTTTTATTATTATGTTTTTTTATTTTATTTATATTATTACACTCATGTTTTGTTAAGTGAATACCAAGAAGTTGCCATGGTAACAAAAATTTATAATTTATCAGTATTACCAGATGTGATGACTCTTCGATGCCATTGGCATCAGGCACAAAATATTTCCTTTTACATCATTTTTACTTTCAGTATTTTCCACAACATTAAAAAATGTTAAAAGAAATAATAAAAATAAATTAAAAATTACCATTTTTGAAAAAATATTAAAATAAAAATAAACAAAAATAATAATGGAACCAATCAATCAATACATTATGTAAAAATGAATAGCTAGTTTTTTATCTGCAAGCGTTTTGTATTCCCTTGTTGTCTTTATCAGTTATCGATAGTGCGATTAGATTTTTATTTAAAATGGAACAGTGTTGGTAAATGACCGGTTATTTAAAATAAAAAATTATATATATTAAAAAAATTTCAACTTATTTTTTTGATACTAAAAAAAAAATCTTATCCCAATAGCAATTGTTTTATCATTACAAGCAAAAAGTTTTTTGAATTGTTTAATTAAAATGCTTAGTTCTCTTAAAAATTGCCTTTTTTTATTCAGTTCCGTATCTCCGAAACGGCTAGACCTGCCTTTGCCAAAAACTAATCATCACTTCTCCCCATCTTGAATGTTGTGGATCATTCAAATCAGATGCTTAATTCTCTCAAAAACTGCTATTTTTGCACATTTAGCTCCATATCTCCAAAACGGCTGGACCTGCCTCCACCAAAAACAATTGACCACTTCTCCCTACCATTACAATTTGAATGTTTTTGGATCATTCAAATCGGATGCTCCGTCTCTCTCTCAAAACACGATTTCTATTTTCTGCACTCTTGTTCCGTATCTCCAAAACTGCTGGACCTGCCATTGCCAAAAACTGATCAGCGCATCTCCCTCTCAATAAGAATTGAATGTTTTTTGAACCATTTAAATCGGTTGATCCTTGCACCTGAAATCGTGGACAAAAAATTGTATCCCTTCTGACTTTTAGATGTAAAAAAACGACTAGACCGAAGGTGGTGAAAAACAAATGTACGGGTTACATCGAATGGCTTTTTATTTTTCCAATTAGGTTAGGAAATAACATCGACAAAAAAAAAAAAAAATGAATCATATATACACAAACATATTTTTCACAATTTTGGTGTGAGATGATTCAGAATGACTATAAACGTCGTGAAAATATAAAATTAGTAAGTCGGATTTTCTGGCAAAATCATAAACTTCTACTTCAAATTCTAAATGAATCTTATTAATTAACAAGAGAGCAAATTTATAAAATAAACCGTAAATATTTTAAGAATAATAATTTCCTTGCACACTAATGTATGACCAGCCCTCACACTATTGAAGAAAACAGTATTATCTTATAAGTGATAAGATAAACAAAGCTATTGAAATTAATCTTATTAGAAAAATTGTGTAATCATCTAATTATGTGGCACAAATTTTTTAATTTAATTTATTTACTACATCTCATTAAAACAGTGGTGGCCAATAACATAACTAAAAATTTATATTATAATTTATTTTTTTCAGAAGGTTATCTGCACTTCTTCGGAGATGAATATCTAAGGACTCTGATTTTAAGATTTGTTTTCTGCGACAACGTCTTGAGGCTCCATCGAGGATTCAGGAGTCGAAGATTTCGGCCAAAGTGAGTAAAAATTAAATGTAATTTAATATAGTAAACATATCTCAAAAGGGGGCAGTGCAACAGCGAATAGAGTCGGTGCATAACTTGGATAAGTTGATGTCTTGGATGAGTCATTTCTATCAATAAGGATTGTCTCTGCGACCATCTATTCTTCCTGACCATAACTACAAAATTCTAGTTACCTTTATCATTTATTTCTTTACCAGGTGTAGCCCTCCTCTGCCAATCCCAGATCTGCTGGAGCACCCCGCTTTGGGTCAGATAGTATTGCAGCTAGCCCAACAATTGGATGCCAGGAGTCATTTCTCGGAAGACGATTCCGGGGCGGCTACTGGGGCCTCTTTATCGACACCACCTACAGGCGTCCAATCTGGCGCCACTGGTGGAGTCTCATCTTGGGAAAGAGACACTGGTAGGAGGCAACATGTTGCCAGGAGTGAAATGATGCAACAGGAATGATGATACGCTTTGGAGGACATGGGACGTGAGTTGTGAGAAAGTAAAGGTGAAGGTTGATAAGTGACAAGTGAAAACAATATCTTATTTGATTATATGATTAGCTGCAAATTTTACCTTTTAGCAAGGATTTGAATCAACATCCAAGCTTTGAACCAATATCTATCTTATTTTCAAACCATTATACTTAAAAATGGAGAGTAATATATAAAACTAAACTAAATTGATGTGACATAAATGCAAACTAGATTGGACACTTTATTGATGATTCATTTGTAAATTGAGAACTGGTAAGATTATTTACCAAGTACATAGAATTTTATTCAAAAAAAAAACATAGTATATAGTAGTTTTGAAGGTTTACACCTTTGCTAAAATATTTATATATTGATGGTTTACACAAACTTTTTATTTGCTATCAAATATTACAATAATCTAACCATCTTACTTTTCAAGTTAATCTCTATAACTATTATTAGGGTTGTAACTTTGCTAAGCCTCTTGTGTTTGGTTCAGATCTTCGCTAAATAAAAGGTGCAATGGAATAACTGAGCTTAATAATTACTATTGTCATTATCTATTAATATTGTTTTTTGATATTTTTGGTAAAAACTTTTTGCAAACTTTCTCACAACTCTAAAATTAGACAACGTCTCTATAAATAAAGAAATGCATGATATTATAATAAGTTAGTTAGGTTTTTAAAATATCGTAATACACATCTGCTATATGTATGCGTTAATATATATATATATATATATATATATACATATATTATTACCATTCTCTATATCGACAAAGTACTCGTCCTTTCCTCAGCATCAATCACCTGCGCCTTTCTTCCACTATCTTAAATTATAATTAAATATAAATATAAATATAAATTCGTTATCTTCCACGAAACAAAAATTGTGTTCTGACACCCAAGTAGTAGTAGAAATCACATGGGACGAGGTTCGAATCTTTGCTCGAAAGACATAAGCCAACTAGACTGCGTAATATAATAATTTAAGGAAGATTATGGTTTATAAAATTTAAATAATATTAGTATAAATGTACGTTGATAACTGGTAATTGGTTTATTTGGCTTTTTTGTTGTTTTAAAATGTTTTCGTGCTGCTGTTGGTACTCACTGTAGAAACAACGTAGTGAAGTAAGTCGCAAAACAAATTCAAGATGGCGACGAATAAAAGTTGTTTTTTACTTTTTTGAACAATTTTTTTTGAGCTTAAAAATTAAATTAAATTAATTTAAATTCTTTAAGAATATGCAAATTTATGAATTTCCTATTTTAAATCCAGCTTTTATAATATTTTAAAACAAATTTTAATATATATTTTTCAGATACAATTTCTTTTATTTTTTTAAACAAATTCTAGACATTACCTTGTATGTTGATGTATTTTATAAATTTAAAGTATTGTTTGACTTTTCTTCTAGATGATTAATTCAATTATTTGTTATTTATTATAAAAAAATTATTTCCATTGTTACGACAGATGCGCAGTCTAGTGGCGTATGTTAGAACTGTATGAAACAAAATAGTGTAAAATATTATTTTATAAGATAAAACGATTTATTTAATATAAATTGAATAGAAATGCAATAATGGATTGTTAATTATTAATTTGTGTATACAACACTCTATATTTTGGAACTGTTATTTATTAAATGAAGTTACGAACGTTTCGTGGCCAAAATTTATGCTATCATCAGTGTAAAATTAGAAACAAATAAAAAGATTTAAACTTTATTGTGGTTTTTTTATATAGGTGATGGCACAAACCATAGTCTCGAAACGTTTGTAATTTTCAATGAAATATTACAGAATAGAGTGATGAATATACTAATACACACACACATACATACATATATATATATATATATATATATATATATGTATGTATATATATATTATACATCAATCTATTATAACAATTCTATTATCATTTTCGATGATATTGAAAAGATTCTTCGAACTTATAACCAAAATTGTAAAATAAATATAAATATATACATATAATTAATATATAAACACTATATTATATATAAATAGAAATATTAAAATTATAATAAACACATTGCTATAAAAGAAATCATACACTGACAAAAATACAATACAGCTTTAATGATATAATTAGCTATAATTTTATTCAACTATTTATGGCATTATATATATATATATATATATATATATATATATATAATTTATCTAGGTACATATATAAATACAAATATATAACTATATTAATCAATATAAATCGCTTTTCCAAATAAAATAAAAAATTAGAGTTTTATTGTGAGGATGAAAACTTTTTTTAGGCTCAATTGAATCTAAATTTATAATAATGGTAATATTATATATATAATTTACGGATAAACAAATTGAAAAAACAGTGGAAAAATTAATTGACGAAAGCGGATAAACCGATTACTTTCAAATAACGCCATTTTATTTTAAAAATAATTGAAATTGTAAAATGCAAAAACAATTTGTTAATTTAATTAAGTATAATTATATTTATTAAATATACATTTAATCGTATTTAAAATATAATTTATTAGATTTACAATTTATTATTTTATATTTATTATATTGATCTTTCAAATATGGCGCCATTTTAATTTAAAAATAACTTCATTTGTAACATGCAACACTTTTTTAAATTAATGATAATGATAATTTATTAAACATACAATATTCAATTATATGTAATGGGCCGAAAATCGAAATTGAAATTTTTTTACATTTCTCGACGTTTTGAAGGTTTCTGAACGTTTGGCATAAGAACTTACCTAGAAAAAATGGATGTGGTGTGTTAATATATATATGTATGAATACAAATTTCCAGTCACGTTTTTCGGGCGCACGGATCAACCGATTTCAATGGTTTAAAAAACATTCGTTTCCATTGTTAAGGAGATATGCTGATTAGTTTTTGGCAAAGGCAGGTCCAGCAGTTACGGAGATAAAGAGCAAAGAGTGCAGAAATAAAATCGAGTTTTTGAGAGAACGGAGCAACCGATTTGAATGATCTAAAAAACATTCAATTAGTAATGATTGGGAGAAGTTGTTATAATTTTTTGGCAATGGCAGGCCCAACCATTTCAAGCTAAATGTACAAAAAATTCCAGTTTTTGAGAGAACTAATCGTCCGATTTAATTCTTCTAATTTAATTTTAAATTTTGTTTCAACTTTTTTTTATTTTTTGTATATCGAAATAATTCAGATTTTATCTTAAATTCTGACTATAGTTCTAATTTACTTTAAACAAATAATTTCAACTTTGCAATTCAGTTTATATAATTCTTATAAATATTAAAAAATGTTACAATATTTATAATAATCTATTTGAAAACATTCAATATTCCTCGAACATTTTTTTACGGTACGGGAAGTTCCAGCAATTTGCCGAAAAAGCACGATGCCACAAACCCCACTAGTTTTGTATTTAATTATATTGATCTTATATTTAATTATATTAAACTTTAATTCAAATTTCAAATATGGCGCCATTCTAATATCAAATTAATTGGAATTTGTAAAATGCAACAACACTTTGTTATGTCAATATTTTATTAAACAAACATATTCAACTTAATATTTATTTTTATTGGCATTTAGATAGAAGTTAATATAATATATTAGATTTACAATTTAATATTTTATACTTAAATATATTGAACTTATGCATATATTCAAATTTCAAATATGGCGCCATTCTAATTTCAAATTAACTTCAATTTGTAAAATGCAACAATACTTTGTTATGCCATTATATTATTAAACAAATATATTCAACTTTAATATTAATTAATTTATTATTTTACTTAATTATATTGAACTTAAGCATATATTTTAATTTCAAATACGGCGCCATTTCATACAAAAATAAAATGGAATTTGTAAAGTGCAACAACACTTTTATTAAGTTAATTATAGGTTATTAAATACATTTTCAATTCAAATACTTTTTTTATTATTTATTTAAAAGTCAATATTATTTCAAAAGATTTATTTAAAGTTTTTAAAATTTATCCAACATGGCGTCTTTGACAGTTTCCTGACAGTTCAATCAAGATGTTTTAACAATTCAGTGACATATTTTAGGCAAAATAAACATTAAAATAACTCAAAATAGGTATTAAAGCACGTTGAATTTTGTTTAAATTAAGTGTTAATAAGTTAATTTATTATTTAAACATGTGTGAGGACATAAAGTTGTTTCCGAGTGTTTCAAAAATCAAAGAAGAACTTATTGAGTATACAGTAGAAGAAATTGATACAAATGGTGATGATGATATTAAAAAAGATGAAATTGAGGAAGAATTATGTCTAGAGACTTCTTTGAATAGATTTTTAAATCAGAAGTAACGATAGAAGAAGATATTAAGCACGATCCCCCTTATGAACTGGAATGTGGTAAGTATTTTATTTCTGGTAGTAAATTAATGATATAGATGAACAAACTTTACAAACGTCAAATCGAGTAACTATTTTTATCACCAAATGATAAGACTCCAAATCTCCTTCTGCGAGGGGTCCACAAATCTCTTTGTGCGACAAGACTCCAATCTCCTTCTGCCATAAGACTCCAAATTCCCTCTGCGATAAATCTTCACATTGGTAAAACTTATAACAAGTATTCTTCTCTAACAGGAACAAATCCATTCAAGTCTTTATAAATAAGGAAATCTTTTGGAGCACCCACATTGAAGACTCTTCATATCGATGTGGTTTTAGTGTTTCGATTATCCTGAGACACTATTAAATTATACATGAACTATAGCTTCCAGAGACTTGATGATGATTTATATCTATTTACATCTATTGTAGTAAGTGTTGTCGCTTTGTTTACCAAGAAAGAGCCCCTGGCTAAAATGTGGTAAATTGATCCCAAAAATTTGTCTTCCATGCTTCTGTAAACCTCATTCATACTAAAATCTGAATTTTTCTTTATTTATTATCAATTAACTCTGATAGTAAATGTCCTCTTACTTT